TGTCTGCTGAATTCTGGAACAGTCAGAATTATGCACGCCAATTATGCATTCCATGCTTGTCCATCTTTAACTTTTGTGGTTTTTCCAACCACCTGCTGAGAGAGGCACTGTTCTTCCTTTTACAGCTGAAGAAACAGGCCTGGAAAAGTTGGGTAGCTTTTCAAAAGTCACACAAAGCTGCTTTCCCTGAGCGTCCATCAGCTGCAAGGTGGCCTTGAGTTGGCACAGGAGTACCTTATTACTATCGGGTGGTAGTGGTAGTGACAGGAGCTAGCCCTTTCTGGTCCCTTTTGGATGCCAGATGTGTTTCTGCATGCTTCATATTTGTCAGCTCATCCAATCCCTGCACGCCTAAGACAGCGACCGCTAACGCTGCCCTTGGGCATGCACCGAGTTCTCTGTGTGCACTGTTCCTTGAACCTTTGTAGCAACCTGCAGTTCCTTCTGTCTGCATTTATGGGGAGACTGAGGCACACAGAGAGGCAGAGCTGGGATTTCGAACCCAGGGCCCAGACCCGTTCTTTGGGATCTGTTCCTGAAGCTGTTGTCCTGACTTAAAGTCCCATGGCTGGGACCAGCAGTTGGCGTAATGGCTATGTCGCTCCCATGTAATTGACCATGGTTCGAGTCCTGGCTTAAACTCACTCCGGGCACGTGTGTGTGCGTCCCCAAGATCCTGGGAGGAGAATTGAGGAGAAGGGATTGTGGCATGGCCATCCCCTGCAGGGGGTGGTGGAGGGGTGTTCTCGCTTTCTGTCTCTGTCTTTCTGGCAAGTGCACATGCCCTATAGCAAAAATCTCTCAAAATAAATAAATCAATTAAAAGTCCCATGGCCACTCAGGAGCCCTGTCTCTGGTTTTCCAGGGCACCTGTGCCCAATGGGCAGAGCGGTGCTAATCAGCTTTGGGAGCAAGGCAGAGGGTGCTTTATGAGGCCACTCCAGAAGCTGGGAGTTCAGGGTGCACCTGAAGTGCTGAGAGACAGGGACACCTACCACCAAGACATCAGCACATCTTCATGTTGACATACAGTGCTGGGTCACTCTGGTCTCAGGGAGTCCAGGCCCAGCGTCCTCGGGGCTATGAAGCAGCTGCTCACAGTCAGGTTAGAGCTGCCCTGGGTCCCGTCTGCACGCTGTCAGACTCACCCGCAGCCTAGCTGCCTCTCAGGCCTCTCTGCCTGCCCTGGCTCTCACGGGTTCTCCTGACAATGGAATGAGCTGTGGTAAGAATCCCATGGAACTGCCTGGTAGACTTTACCTTTCCACGCTCGTGTTTAAGCTGAGAGAACCAAGCTTAAGGATAAGTGGCCTTCCAGCCTGGGCAGAGCTGGCGTAAGGCTGCCTCTAGAATGTCCGTGCCAGGCCTAGAGTCAGCGTCATGTATAAGGCTCCTGGCGGTTCTGTGTTAGGGCACCCCTTGGGACAGTGTGGGGAGGACCTCGGGATTTTCCTCTTGCCTCCATTCACTGTCAGCGTTCTGATTCCAGAAGGGAACACCATGCCCCTTGCTAAAAGCTGACAGGACTCTAAAGAGTGGGCAAGTCTACTTTTGTATATCCTCTGACCCCTTCCAGGAGGGCCTTGGCCTGTCCCTCTCCCTCACCCCCAGGGTCCTGTCGACCTTTTCCCTCATATCCCTGCCACCTGGCACACAGCCCACTCCTCAGGTCTGCCCTCTCTTCCCTTTTCTGTCATGCCCCTGCACCCCCTCCTTCCCTGCCTAACATGGGTCCTGCAGGTCTCAGCTCTAGTATCCCCTCACCTGGAGTTGCCCCTTCACTCACCTTCCATCCCCTCTACCTGAATCCAGGGCCCTGCAGACAGGTGACTTACTCCCTGCTGGATGCCTGGCACCGAGGGTGGTGACCAGCCCCACCAACTCTGTAAGTGACTTTATTTCAGAAGCCTGGGGTCCACCTGGAGTTCGGATGTGTGGAGGCTGTCTCAGTCTGTGGGCCTCAGAAACAAGCTGCAGAGCAGTAAGGTGCATCGCTGCCCCCACAAATGCGCTTGTGCGTGTGTATCTCTGTGGGCTCATCTGTACTGTAGTCTGATTTAACCCCTCTCCAGAGAAAAGCACCTGACTTAATTCTGCTTTTTGGTCTTAGAAACTGTATGGATGGGCCTGAGAGGTAGCATTGCCCCACCCAGAGGTTGGTCCTCTTGTTCTTGCCTGGCTCCCTGCAGCCCCTGCTATTCCAGTTTACTGCCAGTGGGTGGTGCTGTAGCCACATAGATTGACTTGAGTTGGTGCGGAAGTCAGAATTCCTGCACACTGCCTCAGCTTGAGGCTTGGGGGCGGGAGGCTGGACAAACCATGCAAATCAGCGCAGCGAAGCCACAGGCTGCCCATGCCAGCTCAGCTTCAGAACTTCCTCCTGTCATCCCAGTTTCCTGCTCCTCCCTAGTGTCTTTGCTGAGACCTGTCTCTGGAATATTTATAGCAACACACACTGTCACAGAATTGCCAAGGCTATGTGCATGAGAATCACAGGGCAGAGGGTGAAGACCGAGTTTCTCTGGCCGCAGGTCCAACGAACAGGTTTTGGGTGGGAGTGGGCTCGGGATTTGCATGTTGGCCAGGTCCCAGGTGAGTTATGGTGCAGGTGGGAGAGCTGTGGGCATCCGGTGACTGGTACAAAGGGCACAGACCATTGCTCACACTGACTGTTGCCCACTCAGGTGGCTCTCCTGATGGTGAACGGGGAGAGGAGCTGGAGCTGTCAGGGCCTGGTGGGCAGGCTCGAAAGCGAACCCCTCGTCTCCCTCCCTCACCTGTGTCCTCCTGAGCTAAAGGGTGGCCGGTGAATGCCTCGGGTGTCCTAAAAAAGCCCATTGCTTCCAGCAGAGTCATGAAAGTGCTGAGTCTGTCCGGAGCATGCAGACCCACCTGGCCCACGGCTGAGACATGGTCCATCTTTGTGTCATTCGGTTAGCAGAGATGAAGGCTGGGTTGATCTTCATGCCAGCAAAGTGCCGTGAGGTGTTGGAGGCTGTCAGTCACTACTTTTCCCTTGAAACCGCTGTGTTGTGGGGGACTGGCAGGTGGTGTGGTGGTTGAAGTCCTGGACTCCCACATGGCCAACCACAGTTCAAATCCTGGATGTGACAGCTTTTATTCTCACTTTATCTCTCTCTCTGTCTGTCTCTCTCTGGTCAAATTAAAAATAAAAAATAATAATAATTAAATCATTTTTTTAAAAAAAGAAAGAAAAATACGTTGAGAACATGCAACAAGATATTTGATCCACAAACCCAGAGAATTATATTCAAATATTGAAAACTCTGTAGGTTAAATCAGGTGTATCACAACATTGTCTATGATTTTTTAAAATGTAATTTGTGCAGATCCCTAACAAAAGAAGAATGTTCTGTTCCGTTTGGCCACGCAAAGTAATTTGAAATGGGGCCAACCCTGTAGTTGTTAGGTGCTGTGCGTTGGGAGCTGGATCCTACGTGGCCGTCTGTGCTTCCAGTGCCAGCTCCTCTGACTTGAAACATATCTTGGGTCCTGCATATCCCACATCCTGACAGGATGGAGAAATTAAGTAAAAAGATTGCCTGTGACCGTGCCCTACCAAGGGGTGTTCTCTGTCTCTCTCTGTTTCTCTGGCAAGTGCATGTGCCCTTTGACAGTTTAAAAAATTGGCAACGGAGTATCATGAAAAAGAAATCACGTTAAAGGATAAGAAAGTCCTTCGTGTACTGCTGTTGTGCTAATGCTGTGTCCTCCCCAAATCCCTCTGTTGAAATCTAACTCCTAAGGTGATGGTATTAGGAGGTGGGGCCTTTGGGGTTGATTAGGTCCCCAGGATGGAGCCCTCATGAGTAGATTTTGTGCTCTTATGTAAGGAGCCCGAGACAGACTGCTTCCCCTTCCACCATGGGGAAGGCCGTATAAAAGATGCCATCTCTGAGGATTGGGCCTTGGCCAGATATGGATCTGCCAGTGCGTTGATCCTGGACTTTCAGCCTCCAGACCTGTGAGAGAGAATCGTCTGTTGTTCACAAGCCACCCAGGCTGTGGTATCTTATTATCTTCAGCCTTAAGGGACTAAGACACCTGCCTAGGGGGTGATAGGCAAAGTGGACTGAGACAAGAGCAGAATGTGTGACAGCCTATGGCATGTCACAGGCTGTGCCACCAGGAGCCTGCCACGTGGGTGTAGATGCTGTGTCTGACAACTTCGGCTACCCAGGTGTCTTGGTGCCAAGAAGAGGTGAGCAGACGCAGACTTGTTGCCACGCGCCCCTTCATTCCTGTCGGAGTTGGGGCTATGAGCCTGGGTCGCCTGTTTAAGGATAAGTGCAGTTCAGATAAAAAGGAAGAACAACGATTGCAAACAGTGTGTCATCACATGGCGAGGTTATTTTCCCCATATTTTTGAGTGAGAACATTCAGAATGCGAAGGTGTATATTTAGTTTTTTCTCAACTATGCAAGACTAAAGCTGTGAAACAAGAAGCCAGGCAAACGAACAAATGAACCAGCAACACCCTATTCTTAGGAAAAAAGCCTGGAAAGAAAGATCCCAGAATAGCCCTGTGGTTATCTTTGAATGGGAGGAGTGAAATTCTCTTTTCTTTCTACCTTTCTGTATATATCAAATTTTCCATGAGTACGTATGTATTTTTTTTACTCTTTATTATGCAAGTAGTATGTGTTTGTTATAGAGAAACTACTGGGTTGCTGGAAAAGTCATGACGCATTTTTGCATAGAAAAAGCATTTAAAGAAATGTCATGACTTTTTTGATGACCTAATAGAGAAAAGAAGCCACTGGGACCCCACTGCTCAGAGAATCTCCTTCCACAGTTGTTATGGAATGTTCTTTCAGGGATTTTTCTACTTTCTGGTGTCAGTGCATTTGGAAATATCTGGTATCAGTAAGCGACATGACTTTGATGGTGGGGGCCACAAACAAAGGCAGTTTATCGGGGCATCTCCAGGCTGGGCAGCTTGCTGGGCTGGGCTGACTGGCCGTCTCTGGTCTTTGCAGGAGCGCTGCGTGGCCGCCCTGGCCCGGGTTGAGCGTACTGACTTCCTGTCGCCCATGTGCATCGGCGAGGTGGCTCACGTCAGCGCAGAGATCACCTACACTTCCAAGCACTCTGTGGAAGTCCAGGTCAACGTGATGTCTGAAAACATCCTCACAGGTAATTTCTGGGCACTCCTCACCAAGCCAGCTTGGCCGGGGAGGACAGTGACGTGACACCAATAATGAGGGTGGTGGTCACTTCAGACTGTGCAAGAGGCTCGTCCACCTCCTGTGTGGGACTAACATATTTCTCCTACTGCCCGATGAGCATGTACTTCTGTTATGGGGAAACAGGGCACAGGGGAGTCCAAGATCACATGCCTCGAGCTGGATTCAAGGCCTGGCCGTGTATAGACATTGCCGTCCCCAGGGGGGCCTGCTCCCAGAAGCCAGGCTGAGCTGCCCCTGGGTCCTGGAAAACCAGGCTTAACTAAAAGCTAGCTGAGTGAACCTTTGCCTCTAGCTGCATCTGAATATTCTCCTCCTTGGCTGGGGTAACCATGGAAACCTTTTCCTCTTCCCACTTGGCGGGTGCCTCAGGAGAGCGTGGCTCCATTTCTCACATGCTCGCATGCTTCTTTTTATAACGGGGCCATGGTGGGGAAGCAGGCCTCTTCCCTACCCTCTGTCCATCTCACTGCACTTTCCCAGGTTTGTTTCCTCCTTTGCTCTCCCACCCCTGGTCCTTGGTTGTGGCTGTCCTGCAGATTGCTGACCCAGAGCTGTCTAAGGAGCAGTTACTCATCCAGAACATCCCAGTGACCTCAGCAGGGCTGGGATTAGAGCTGGTCACATCATCCCAGCCACCCAGCCACAGTACACGAGTCGGCCGAGCAAGGGCCTGGGGTGAAGGGTGGTCGTGTGCCTGTCTATGTGGTGTGGCCTGAGCCCGCACACGGCAGGTCTGTCTGGCATCATAGGGATCCGTGGAAGCTGGTCTCAGGCTGTGGCACAGGAAGGGGTGCCTGGGCACTCTTCCCACAGCCGGGACAGTGTCCCACGACTGGGGAAAGGCTCCGTGCAGGATGGGGAGGGTCTGCTTTCCCACTGTGGACACCCCCTTTCTGTACATCAAAAGCCACGGCCCAGGAGGAACCCTGGAGGGACCAGCAGTTAGCGTAATGGCTATGTCGCTGAACTCTCATGTAGTCTACCGTGGTTCAAGTCCCAGACCCGGTGGCTTAAACTCACACCAGGTGTGTGTGCGTGCATGCCTAAGATCCCAAGAGGAGAATAGAGGAGAAGGGATTGCGGTGTGGCCATCCCCCGTGGGGGGTGATTTCTTGCTTTCTGTCTCTCGGGTGAGTGCATGCGCCCTATAGCAAAAACCTCTTCTAAATAAATAAATAAATAAGGAGGAACCCTGGAGGAACAGAACATCCACCTGATGGAATGGGGAGAGGCCGGGAGCCAAAGGCATCTTCAGAGTTTCAAAATGGCTAGGACTCTGTCCCCACCAAAGAGGACACTGGCCCAGGTGTCAATAGTGGAGGTATCGGAAGTTGAGGGACTTGGGGCAAGATCCTGAGCTGCTTCTTAGCTTCTGTTGATAGCAGGGAGCACAGAGCTAGAAGACATGAAACCAGCTACTGCTGTAATTGTCACAGAGGTCGTCAGAGCTGGACTTGCAGGCTGAGTTGGGGAGCTGAGGGGGGGTTGACTAGAATGAGACGATCTGACTCATAATTTAAGACTCCCTGGCACAGCGGGTAAGAGTGGACAGAGAGGCAGGAGGCTGTTGCCAACAGCCGGTGCTGGTGAGAGGGCAGGAGGACAGCCCTCTGCCCTCCCCATAGGGATGCCCCTCGCCTTCTGGAGCACGGGCACCACTGCGGCAGAGGCTCGGCATGTCTCTACTCTCAAGGCTACCCGCTCCTTGCCTGAACTGCCCAGTAAGGAGGAGAGGGTAGCCCTGAGGAACAGAGATGGTGCTGGCACATTGCCCACATCAGGGCAGGCGTTGCTACCCCACCGTGCAGATGAGAGGCTCAGAGAAGGTGTGCAGCGGCCAGCCTCTGGCGGCTCCTCCTGAGGGACCAGGTACTGGCCCTGGGTTCTCCCTCCCTCCTGACCTCAGCTTCTTCCCAGTGTCATGAGGTGCAGCAGTACTCATGTCTGGGCCCAGTGGTACTGGCCGCTGGAGGGCTATGGCTTTTCTCTAGGTCTGGTCATCGTGCCCTAGAGCCACTGCTGTAGGGCTGGACGCCCCCTCATCTCTGTGCATCCCTCTCTGTCTCTTGCAGTTCCGTGCCTATTCACCTGTTTTCTTCCTTTTAATTTGCCAGAGCATCCACTTGCAAGAGAGGAAGGGAGAGAGGGAGAGAGAGTGTGCACCCCCAGGACACACTCTACCCGAGGGCATGATCACACTAATCCCTTCCATTTTTCCTTCCCATCGGGATTTTGTTTGTTTTTTTAGGTTTTTGCCATAGGGCATGTGCGCTCACCAGAGAGAGGCAGAGAGAGGAAAAGTGAAAAGTTACTCCCTAGGGGAAACGGCCATGCCACACTCCCTTTTTCTCCAGCTTCCTCTCTGGATTTTGGGTATGCAAACACATGCTTGGTGTGATTTTTCAAGCCTCTGAGTCCAGGACTTGAACCATGGAAAGCCATATGGGCGTCTAGCACCTTAACCATCGTACTATCTGCTGGCCTGAGGATTTTGAGCATGTGTACAAATAAACCTGGGACACTCAGTTTTTTTTTTTTTTTAAGAATTATTTACTGGGGTTGGCAGGTGGTGTGGTAGTTAAGGGCACTGGACTCCCACATGGCTGACCATGGTTCGAGTCCCAGACCCAGCGACTTGCTTTTTCACTTTCTCTCTCTCTCTCTCTATAACTCTGTCCTTCTCCAGTCAAATTAAAATAAATAAGTAAAACTAAATAAAACAATTCTTTTAAAGAAAGGATTATTTACTTATTTAATTCCATTTGTTATTACTACTATTTTTTATTTGACCAGAGAGAGAGAAAGGGAAAGCAAGAAAGCAAGCTGTCAGGTCTGGGATTTGAACCACAGACAGCCATGTAAGAGTCTAGCACCTCAACCACCATGCCACTTCTGCAGGGCCCAGATTTGAACTGTCCTCATCCACATGGGATCTAGCACCCAACACATCACATTTAACTACTGAATTGTGGGGCTGAGGGCAGAAGAGCTTTTTTTTTAGTTTATTTTACTCATGTTAGCAAATGTGCATGAAAGAGAGATGGGGGACAGTCACCCTCAACAGGGTATCATCATGCTGTGATCTCTTTCTTCTTGCTCCTCAGAATCTTGGGCACACACACATGTGCTTGGTGTGTTTTCAAGCCAGCCCCGGGGTCCGGACCTCGGTCAGACACGCAGCTGCTAACACCGCAAGTTCTTTATTCTCCTGAGTGCACCGTCAGGCGGGGCCCAGGGCATCAGTCCCTCTGTTGGCCTTTCTCAGTCTCTCTCCGTGTTTGGATCCGTGTGGATCCCTCCTGTTCTCTTGAGGCTTTGCTCTCTTGGTGTCTCTTTCTGCCGTGTGTCCACTGGAAAGCGAGCCTTCGGCTTAGTGTGTTTTCTGGTTCACGTAGTGTACCCCTGAGAGTAGCACCTGGTACCGGGGGGCGGGGCTCTTAGCATGCAGTGGTCTCTAACAGACAGGGAGACCACGGATCAGAGGAGGTGGGGCCAGGTGGCAAAGCACACACGCAGGGTCTGTAGCTTGGGCAAAGCTGAACGATGAAGCCATGTGCATGACTTCTCTGTGTTCTTTCTCTACCCCAGGAACTGGGTCCCCTTTTCTGTGTGTCCCCTTTGATCTGGGCCATGTGGCCTGTCACGAGGCAGTTGCATACACGCACTCCCAGGCAGACAACCGCAAATTTCTGCCTTCGAGACGGCTCATTCATCTCGGCAACTGTCAAAATATTAAGCTAACTGGGACGTGATTGCTGCGAATTGCTCCAGAAAATAGCTGGGAGCTCTTATGATTTTTAAAATAGATGTTTTTAATGCTGCAGTTGTCTTTTGATGGTTTTATTAAATGACGGAGAAAGTACAATTAGCATGTTTGCCTCATTTGCTCCATGGTGTTCATTTAGGTCTGGAGGGCCGCTCAGGTTGCCATGGAAACCAGCTTGTCAGGCTGGCTCTGACTGAGTCCAACAGGAAATCTTTATTCCCAAAAGCAGGTTGTCAGATTCACTCCCAGTTAAAGTGCGGTGAAAGTATTTTCCCGTATTATTTGCCTGTGGATCCCAGGCCCAGGGAGCCGATGTTCTGGTGGTATGGTTGGTTGTATCGGGGTGGAAAGGTGGACATGTGGGGCTTGATGAAGGGGTACCCCATGGGCCTCTTTTTAATTGACCCTCTCCAGGGCTTGGCCTGGAGCTTGAGGCTGTGTTCAAGGAGGAAGTGGGCACAGTTGCCCCGGGTTCACCTTGGAAGGCGGGTGAGAGGTAACCGGGGCAGGCCCGTTCCTCCTGGGGCTGAGGAAGGACTCTGGGCTGCTCCCTCTTATTCCTCAGATTTTCTCTGTTCTGCTCTACCTGGGGAGTCTTTCCATGTTGAAGAAGCTACTGCTAGAGTGTGTGCAGGCTCATTGGGTAGGGGGCGAGAAAGGACCCTTCATGGGGCGTGGTCATATCACAATCTCTTCTCCTCAGTTCCTCCCTCCTTTTTGTATTTTGGGCACACATGCACATGTGCCTGGTGTGGGATGTTTTTGATTTTTAAATTTTTTTAGGTTTTTGCTATAGGGCACATGCGTTTGCCAGAGAGAGAGGAAGAGAGGAAAAGTAAGAAATCCCACCCCCAGTGGGGATGGCCACGCGACAGTCCCTCCTGGGCATGCATGCACACATTCCAGGTGTGTTTTCTTTTTTGCTATGGGGCACGTGCATTCTCCAGAGAGACAGAGACAGATGGGTAAAAACAGAGAAATAACCCTTCAGGGAGGATGGCCATGCCACAATTCCTTCTCCTCCATTCTCCTCTCAGGACTTCGGCCACGCCCAGTGGGGATGGCCACGCGACAGTCCCTCCTGGGCATGCATGCACACATTCCAGGTGTGTTTTCTTTTTTGCTATGGGGCACGTGCATTCTCCAGAGAGACAGAGACAGATGGGTAAAAACAGAGAAATAACCCTTCAGGGAGGATGGCCATGCCACAATTCCTTCTCCTCCATTCTCCTCTCAGGACTTCGGGTGTACATGCGCTTGTGAATGGTGTGAGTTTGAAGCCGACAGGTCTGGGACTCAAACCACGGTCGACTACATAGGAATCCAACAGTGTAACTTTTATACCATCTGCTGGTCCCCCTTGGTGTGTTTTTCAAGGAATCCAGCAGTGTAACTTTTACGCCATCTGCTGGTCCCCCTTGGTGTGTTTTTCAAGCTGCCAAACTGTGCTGTTGGCCATGTGGGATCCAGCTGCCTTAGCCACTAGACCACAGGCTGGCCCGAGGAAGCTACTTTTATTTATCTATTTATTTTTAAGGTTTTTGCTGTAGGGTATGTGCACTCACCAGAGACAGAGAGAGGGAAAGTGAGATATCATCCCCCAGGGGGGATGGCCATGCCACAATTCCTTCTCCATTCTCCTCTTGGGATCTTGGGCACATGCAAACACACACCTGGTGTGATTTTCAAGCTGCTGGGTCCAGGACTCAAACTGAAGTTGGCCATGTGGGAGTCCAGCGCCTTAACCGTTATGCCACCTGCCACGCCCCCATGTGTTTTTCAAGTCATGTGTTGTGCAAGTCACCTGGTGTGGGACTCAAACCATGCAGTTTTCACCTCAACCACCATGGCATAAGTCCCCTTTTGTTGTTGTTGCTTTTTTTTTTTTTAATTTTTTTTAATGAGAGAGCCAGAGTACTCATGCATAAAGGCGAGGGAGAGAGAACTATGTCTGACAGGCTCTTGCTATCGTGACCCTCTGCCCCAGCCTCCCAGCTAACAGGGACTGTAGGCTCGCACGACTGCACCTGCCTGTTGATCTGAGAGCCAAACTCGGGCCTCCCATGTGGGCCCAGCCTTGCTCAGTGGTGTCTTTCTGCTTGTGCCTCCACAGTGGGCCTCTCTGGGCTCTTTTAGCACCAATAGACCCCAAGCCAGTGGTTCTTAGCCCAGACAGGCCTCAGTGCTCCAGTCAGCAGCCCACAGCCCATCTCTTGGTACTTAAAAGCTTCTGGACTGGAGCTTTGAGTTGGCCAGTAGCAAACCAAGGTGTCTGGTATGAAGGAGAGAAGGCCAAGCAAGCTCTCCTGGGGTGGTGAAGTCAGGTCTCTGATGAGCTGACTACATGGCTCTGTGCTTTGGACTCTGGAGCCCTGGCTGTCCCTGTCCTGCTAGGGGTGGCTGTGCCTGAGTCAGCCTCTGCATGTCTGAATGCACCGAGTGTCTTTCTGGGTTTCCCTGTCTGGCAGGAGATCTTGTCAGTGTTTAGACAGGTGGAAGGGACCTTCAGGAGACGTTGCCGTGTGACCGTTAGGACATCGAGTTCCTCAGCAAGGTGTTTGAATATGACAGTCAGTGTCAGCCGAGATCTCTTGGTGGACACTTGAGCCAGCCTGTGGAGCCAGCACTCCCCAACCCTGGCTGGCAGAGTGTGAAGGGGGTTCACCTACAGCTAGTTGGTTCTTCCCTCTGACTTGGGAGGAGCACATTGGAGCCTACTGATAGTTTTAATAACCAAACTCCCTTTCTTTCTTTTCTTTTTAAGAGTTATTTATTTAATTTTATTTATTATTATTATTTTTTCATTTGAGCATAGAGAGACAGAGAGTGAGAGAGAAGGAAAGTGAGAAAGCAAGCCGCCAGGTCTAGGACTTGAACTGTGATCGGCCACATGGGAGTCCAGCGCCCCAACCACCATGCCACCTGCCACTCTTATTCTTTCAAAACACCATGAATATGAGATTGCATGGAGTTAGTGTTCTCCAGGTGAACCCTGTGTTAGGAAACCACCAGCCCCAGGACCACCCAGCCGCAAACCAGGTGGTCTGAAGTCTTCCCAGCAACCTCTGGGAAGGGCGAACTGTCCCAAAGTGGTCAGGGTTAGGAGGGGCTGAGATCTGAGCCCTGGAGGTTGGGGTGGACCCCCCCACAACATCTCTCCCTAGCTCTTGGTCTGTTCTGTGTCCGTACTCACAGGGCTGCAACTCTGGGCCAGAGGACTAAAAAGGCTTTGAGGCTTGGGGCCAGAGGAGGCAGCACTGGAGGGTGTGTGCAGCGTAGGTGAGGAAGCATTTCGGCTGCTAGGACGCCCCCTACTCCCTTTCCAGGATTTTCATGTGGCTTTCTTCTCTTAAGGTACCAAAAAGCTCGGAGGGTGTGTGCAGCGTAGGTGAGGCAGCATTTCGGCTGCTAGGACGCCCCTACTCCCTTTCCAGGATTTTCACGTGGCTTTCTTCTCTTAAGGTACCAAAAAGCTGACCAACAAGGCCACTCTGTGGTACGTGCCTCTGTCACTGAAGAACGTGGACAAGGTTCTCGAGGTACCTCCAGTTGTGGTAAGGCGACCCCTTCACTTCTCTCTTGGGGTAGATAACAGGGGCCTGGTGACCTCAAACAATGGTGGGAGGCTAAACAGGCACCCCAGGAGAGGAACATAGCCCAGGGGTAAGAGGCCCACCTGCAGGCAGGGACCCGCTGGGCTGAGCAGGGCCTCCCATCCTGCTTCTAAGGAAACACCAGTGGGGAGGAGACAGCTCTGCTCAGGACATCTTGGTGCATGTCTAATTCATGCTGGGAGCATGCACATAGGCTGGCCCAGCACCTGCAGACCCGACATCCTTCCACCCCAGAGGACTTTCTGATCAGAGAAAAGGCAGTGATGGGACCATGATGGTGATGTCCTTCTGCTAAGAGCCAGGGCCACCAGGTTGCCCCCGTGACCCCTGCAGGCTGAGTGTCACCTTGGCTCCTGGTGCCATGGGTGTTTTGTCTTTGCCCCTACTGCCCCACACTGGAATCCACCTCCTCCTCTGGGTTTCTCCCTCTGTTTTGCCCTGAACAAACACATCTTTGCCTAAAATGAGTTCTCTGTGTCCCCTCCTGGGTTCTCACCACAGGTGGGCAGGCGTGTGGAGTGGAGTGATTTCATTCATGCCCTGAGAGCCCTCCCTGCCTCCTCCTACGCCCGTTGGTTAGAAACGCAAGGACAGGCATGACCAGCTCCTCGTGAGCTGCTGTGTCTAGGACCGCACTCGTGCTTACCAGGAAAGGCGTTTCTCAGAGGGAGCAGACCCGGGGCTCAGCAGAGTCTGCCCTGCAGGGAGATGTTTCCATGGTTGAGCTATATCGAGAACAGGTTTGTAGAAGTAATGAAATGGAGAGCCAGGCGCTCAGGCCTTGGTCCTCCCACACCCAGCAGAGGAAGCAGGCGCTTGTGCCCCTCTTGGGGTCCTCCCGTGCGGTCTGACAGGTGCAGGGTCCTGGACCGGCCCGGCTCTCAGTCTACAGCTGCTGGCCTTTCCATTAGCCTGGCTCACCTGGGGCCCATGGGGGACTCCCTCCTCCCCTCCGCCATGTGTAAACTGTGGGGGTGGCCTCCGAGACTGGATTCCTGTGCCCAGCTCACTGGGCCCTCTTCCCCACCTCCCCTCTCCGTTACTCCCTTCTCCACCTCCCTGCTTCTTGGTTGGGATAGGAGTTATGTACAATTTCAAGCCCAGGGCGGGGTGGGGTGTAAGATCCAAGGAAGGAGTGTTAGAACCCAGCCATTCTCCTTAGAAATGGCAGGGGTGGGGGTCAACAGGTGGTATGGTGGTTAAAGGCGCCGGACTCATATGTGGTTCGAGTCCTGGACCTGGCGGCTTGTCTTGCTTTTTTCACTCTCTCTCTCTGTGTCCCTCTCTGTTCAATTTTAAATAAATAAATAAATAAATACATAAGCAAAGTTAAATAAAATAATTCTTTAAAGGAAAAAAATTAGCAGGGGTGTCTGTCCCACTCTCATCCTTCCCTCTTAGCCCTTGGGTTCAGCTCACCATGTCACAGGGAAGTACTCAAACACAATTACTTAACTGCTCTAATTTGCAGATGCCACATACTCAGAAATCTCTCCTCAGGCCCTACGACTGGTCCCGTCGTGCGACACATCTTATGGCAGTGATGCCGAAGGAAGTTCCTGGGCTGAACACGGTAGCTGTTGCTGCCCTTTGCTCCAGGGCTGACGTGCTGAGCAGTTGGGTCTCCAGCCAGTGCAGAGGGACTGGTGACCTCAGATTTCCCTGGCTGCTATCCCCTTCCTGTGGGCGCAGGGCCACACTCGGCTCTCAGTGTCGCCCTCTCGTCCAGGGCTCCCCTCTCCCAGTGATTAGCGCCCTCCCTCCCACATCCTGGAGGAGCCCCTGGTCGCTCCTTCCCTCCCTTTGTGTAGCCGGTTTGATGAGACATAAATACCAGCTTGGCTCTCGTAGAGGAGTGCATTGAAACACTTCCACCGAGGCTCAGGGAGCTGCAGATGGCCGCAGTGGCACGGCTCCCAGCTGCAGCGCTGCGCAGTTCTTTGCTCTTTCTTCCCCCACACTCGCTGCGCCCAGTAGTGTAAACCTTCTGAGCTTCGGGATACAGTCTGCCGTGTTCACTGGCAGGGCCCGGCAGAGGCCTGCTGAGGACCCTGGGAAGCACGGCGTCCTTCTCTTGCTCCCCTAGGCTTTCATGCTCTTCTGGCAGCTAACGCGCCAGGCTTCCTCCCAGCTTGCCAGCAGCCTCCTACCCACCTCTCACAGAGGGCCTTCCCAAGTTAAGAAAACATAACTTCTTTTCACCTACAGATATATGCCCACATGCGTATATGTATATTTATATACAGACATCATACGTACATGCATACAGCTATTTCACATATGTGTGCGCACACACACACATGTGCAACCTTCCTGTGTGTGTGTGTACCTCCCTGAAGGAGGCCCAGCTGCTCGCCACGTGTAGCCTCAGTGGTGGAGGACTTTGTCTCCTATTGCCCGCTTTCTTCTCTAGCCTGCCAGGGGGTGCTGCTTTCCCAGAGAACTGGGAACCTCAGGGCCCTGGATAGGAAATGGAGACCAGCCCAGGGCTGTGGAGGGACAGCGCAGCCCTGGAGAGGCTGGAGCGGCCATGGGTGGAGGGCCACGCTGTTTTTCAAATGTCTCTATGCTGGCTTGAGTAGAGGCTCCGAGGCTGGGTGGGGGCTGCGCTGTCTGCTGCTGCAGATCTGCTGGGTTTGATGAGTCCTCGGGAGTGACAGTTAGGTGGCAGCCCATCATTAAAATGTTCCAGCGGTTTTGTTCCCAGATTTAAAGGGAGCATTTGTGAGGAGGCTGATTTCTCTGTCCTCGTGGCTAGTGTCCAAGATGGGCCCCCCTCGGTTCCCAGGAGCTCACCGAGCTCTTACAAGAATGCTGGGGGGGAACCAGCAATTAGCGTAATGGCTATGTCACTGGACTCCCACGTAGTCGACCGCGGTTCGTGTCCCAGACCCGGTGGCTTAAAACTCACGTCGGGCGCGTGTGCGTGCGTGCCCAAGATCCCGCCCGAGAGGAGAGTGGAGGAGAAGGGATTGCGGCATGACCATCCCCCCTGGGGGGTGATTTCTCACTTTCTGTCTCTCTGTCTCT